AAAGTAACATTCACTGACTTCCACAATGTTTTCTCTTCATTTCTTTGAGTGTTCCTGAAAGCCAACCAGTTGCACTTTGGAATGACCTTATTATTGTATCATGTTTTTGATCCGAGTTTGTTTTACAGAAAGAAATGTCTGAATGAGTGCTCATCCAAGACTGCTGATTCCATACTATTTGCCAGGGGTTGTAGCAACTTGGCTATCAGTTAGGATAAATATTTCTTTCTGTATACAATGAGGGTCTTTGAGAAATGCCACACACTAGTGGATTGCATGCATCTCAGCTTGAGATACATTTGCAAAACCACCTAGCGTGTATCTGTACTCTCTCTAACCATGGCTGTGCAAAATCTGCACCCCTGCACCTACTGACCTCTTCAAAAGGGATTTGTCTGTAAAACTGTAGAAACCGTTGGGCGACAGGCCCACCAGAGAGAAATTACTCCAGGCAGACCTGCCTTCTATCTCTGTCTTRAAACTTGGTTCAAAACTGTATTTTTTGACCATTCTGTCTCCAGGTCCTGCAGTTAMTGGAACAGCAGCAACTGCCCAGTCCCAGGTTCTAATGTGCTGTGAGTTGGACAGGTTTTTCCACCTAACAGATTGATGTAACCTCACTGTAGAAGAAAACATAAACAAATGTATTTGTTTTAAACATAAACAAATGTATTTATTGCCTAGTTTTAATAAATCCTCCATGAAACTGGTTAATATCGCTAACTCCTATGATTAATTTATCTCTGTAACAAAGTCAAACACGCACCCTAAACTCTACTGCTCTGGCTAATAAATTCTTCATCTACAGAGGTATTTTTCTATAAACACCATAGTGTATCATWTTTCGTTGACATAATATGAAATCATTAATATGATATGACATCCTGGTGTTCAAGGAATAACCTGACCCTAAACGCCAAAAAAACCAAGGAGGTCATTGTTGACTTCAGCAAAGTCAGCAGCAATCTGGCCCCCCTCTACATCAACAGCAAGTGTGTAGAGAGGGTCCATCCTTTCCTGTTTCTGGGTGTCCACATCACAGCTGACCTCACCTGGACTGAGAATACCACAGCGGTCATCAAGAAGGCTCAGCAGAGGCTACACTTTCTGAGAGTCCTTAGGAAGCTGCTGACCTACAGGTCATCAATAGAGAGCCTGCTAACATATTGTATCACAGTATGGTACGGCAGCTGCACCCTGGCGAACAGGGAGAGGCTCCAGAGAATAGTCAAGACAGCTCAGAAGATCATTGGCTGTCCTCTCCCCTCCCTCATGGACATTTACTCATCACGCTGCCTCAGTAGAGCTGAGCACACCACCAAGGACAGCTCCCACCCAGGCTCTCAACTGTTTGACTTGTTGCCCTCAGGAAAGAGCTACAAGTGCACCAGAACAAGAACAGCTTTTTCCCAAAAGCCATCACCTTCCTGAACTCTTGCATGCACTGACTCTTGATTTACAATCAGCTAGAAACTTAAATACATACGTACCATGGAACACGTCACTTTATTTTGTTAATGATCACCTGAAATACCAGCATAATCCATGTACCTCAATATACAAAATGTGCAATATTTAAACAATGTGCAATAATGTCGTTTTACTTTCTTCTACTTTAGTTTTACATTTACAACTGACTCATTGTGCTTCTTTTTTATTATTGTATACTTAAATGCATATATATTGTATAGAGTATACTGTACAGTGG